TATACTTTTTGAATTTGATATTTTTGATTTCCCTATTAGTTTTTTTATATAATTTTGATATTGAAAATTGATATGACAATACGACGAAAATTCCGTATATGTATTTCTGAACAAGAAATGAATAAATAATAAATTTTGATAAATTGAATTTTCACGGTATAGTGAGTGTCTTCGGAAGGTGTGTAGCAGGTGATCTACCTTGATTGTTTATTTTATGTGTGTTTAATTATGATTTTTTTCAGAGGTTCGAGAATAACTTGAATTTAAAGATATTTTAGTCCTAATTTTCTTCATATATCGACACGTCCGAAGGGGGAGAGTGTAACAGGAAGTATTTTTGTGTCTCCTTATTTATAAAATTATTTAGTGTCGATTGAATTATTTTATTGAACCTCTAATAGATTGACGACATACGATCCAGGGTTGCCATGGCAACGACACTGCGCTCGCGTAGCCGGAAAATTCGGCAAGTGCGCGACAGGTCGAGGCTGATCACTTTTGGATCGTTCGTCGACTAGGAATCTAGTATCATTTTAATTGTGATTATTTTGCGAAAGATTTATTAGTAATTAAAATTATTGTGAGTGTAAAGAATTGGCCAATTCAGAGAGTTTGTTTGAGAGACAGAGTATCATCGTAATGTAAGTAGATTATCTGTGAATATATATCTTTCAGTTGACACTCTCGTTGGTTTTAATTTATAGGGTTCCCCCATGTTATCCCCCCTGAGATAATATTAAATTATTAAAAAGTAAAGTAATAGAACATTTTATTTACCGTCGACCTTCAGTCGACTGGCGCCCGTGGTTTGTTTCATATAATTGTTAACTTTGAACCCACACAGCTTAGAACCCGGCCGCGTGTGGTGTGGAGTTTTGATTTTGATAATTAAATATTTTAAATAATAAAGACTCCTGTTTCAAAATGCTTTTAATGCTTTAAAATGTGCACTTGTAAATGAACCGGTATTGCACATTTTTAACCCTAAGAACGAGACGGAATTACATACCGACGCCTCAAAATTTGGAATTGGAGCAATTTTGTTGCAACGTTGTCCGATTGATGGGAAGCTTCACCCTACGCATTTTATGAGTCGAAAAACGAATCAGCACGAACAGAATTACACTAGCTACACTTTGGAAGGATTAGCTATTGTCGAAGCACTTGATAAATTTCGTGTATATTTAATTGGTATAAAATTTACTATTGTTACAGATTGTTCAGCGTTTAAACAAACTGTGCAAAGAAGAGACGTGTCAACGAAAATATGGCGCTGGGTACAGAAATTGGAAGAATTCAATTACGTTATTCAGCATAGGTCAGGAGATCGTATGCGGCATGTCGATGCTATCAGTCGCCATCCTGTCATGATGATCACAGCCGATAATATTCTTTTACGATTAAAGAAAGCTCAAAGTGAAGACCCCGAATTAACAACTTTGATCGAGAATTGCAGAGACAAACCGTGGAAAGATTATCTCTTACGAGCAGAGATACTTTATAAATTCAATAATGGAGTCGATTTATTGGTTGTACCTACAAGTATGCAAGATGAAATTATCCGAACTGCACACGAGAAAGGACACTTTGCAGTGGAGAGAACTAAAGCAGCAATCGACGGTGAATATTTTATTCCAAATGTAAGGACTAAAATCGAGAAAGTTATCTCCAATTGTGTACGATGCATCTTGGGTAATAAAAAAGAGGGGAAGAAAGAGGGTTATCTCCATCCTCTTCCAAAAGCCGATGTTCCTCTTTTCACCAATCATTTGGATCATCTAGGTCCATTGGATTCTACGAGTAAAAACTACAACCACATTCTAGCCGTAATAGACAGTTTTTCGAAATTTATATGGCTTTATCCGACTAAATCCACGACGTCTCGTGAAGTCATCGACAAATTAGAAAAACAAAAAGAGATTTTCGGAAACCCTGTGCAAGTTATTACCGATCGAGGCACAGACTTTTCGTCAAATGAGTTTCTCGATTATTGTGAGAAAGAAGGAATCGCAAGAATAATGATTACCACTGGAGTGCCGAGAGCCAACGGCTAGGTAGAAAGGCTCAATCGAACCATAATCCCTATTCTTACCAAACTATCGATGGACAACCCTACGAAGTGGTATCAACATGTCAAAAGAGTCCAAGCAGTTCTTAATTCTACCTATCATCGAAGCATAGGAAGAACGCCGTTTGAGCTGCTTATAGGAGTTAAGATGCGTTGTAAGGAAGATATTCTTCTTCAAGAAATTATAGACTCGGAAATCGCATCAGTGTTCGAAGAGGATCGCGAATTAATTAGATCGAAAGCAAAAGAGCAGATTCTTCACGTTCAAGAAGAAAATCGTCGAAATTATAATCTACGACGTCGTGAACCGAAAAAATATTCCCTTGGACAATTAGTAGCGATTAAACGAACTCAGATGACTCCCGGCAGAAAACTTCGTTGTAAATTTTTAGGTCCGTACGAAATCACAAAAATTAAATTGAATGATACATATGATGTAACGCGAATCGGCGACGGCGAAGGCCCTTTAAAAACAAGCACTTGCGCCGAATATGTAAAACCTTGGCTATAAAACTAAATAGATTCATTCGAGACGAATGAATATAAAGGAGGGCCGATTGTAGGAATTTGAATATAGCGGTTCTTAAGTAATAGTTAATTATTATAACGATTGAGAGCGCTGTTGTATGAATGAGTTTTGAGTTCTTGGTTAGAAAGCGTCACGAGCTGCTTCTGTGTAAAATGTTTAATCTTTACTTTTGATTACAATAAATTAATGTCTAATATTAATTATGTCGTGTTATTAAAGAATACCCCTACATTTATAAAGTGTAAATTAATTATTAATAATAATTTCTGAAAAATTTCTTTCAACATTTTCAAATCCTTTTGTTTACAATTCAATTTTACGAAATTTCATCGATTATTCAGATATTCGGAAATTCTTCAATCAAATATATATTAGAAAATAAAAACTTCAAATAATAACTTAAAAAAAATTCAATTCAACTTTTACAAAAAAAATTAAATCTACACAATTTTGAGTTAAAAGTATGAAAAATTCAAACATTCAAAGATTATAATTTGAGACCTGCTTTTCAAAACTCAATTATTATCTAAAGTTTTAACTGAAATTCATATTTGATTCAATTATTATTAGAAAATTCTACGACAATTCAATTATTTAAATAAAAAAAAAATAATTTATTGAAAAATTCAATGTTTTTTAAAATTCAACTCTCACTTAAAGAATTTTATCAACAAATTTTTAAATAGGTAATTAAAATTCTTTTGACGAATTTCAATAAAAAAATTTTTAATAATAATTTCATTTTTCGAGAAATTAGATTAAAAATGTATTAAAAATAATTTAATCTCTGTAAAAAAATTTCGATGAATTGGAAAAAGTTTTTGAAAATAATTGATATTTTTTTCAAGAATTTTATTACATTTTTTTTTAAATAATTTAAATATTGCCAAGAATTTTATTACAATTTTTGAAAATAATTGAATTTTGGAGAAAAATTTTAATATTTATAAAGATAATTGAAATTTTGACGATAAATTTTTTTAAACTTTTGACCATAATTGAATTTCTGCTAAGAATTTTATTATTTTTGAAAATAATTGAATTCTTGAGACGAATTTTTTAATAATATTTCTTTTTAAATACCTAATTATTTTTGATACAAAAATAAATAATTTATTGAATAATTGAATGTTTCTCAAAATTCAATTCTCATAAAGAATTTTATTAACAAATTTTTAAATAATTGCATTATTTTGACGAATTTTAATAAAATTTTAAGAATAATCACATTTTTCGAGGAATTTGATTAAAATTGTATCAAAAATAATTGAAATTCTGCAATGAGATTTATTATCTACGAAAATAATAATTGAATCCCTGTAAAAAATTGTATTACATATTTATAAAAATAATTGAATCTCTGTAAAAATAAATTGAATATTTGTGAAAATAATAGATTTATTGCGAAGCAATTTATAAAAAATGTTTAAAATAATTCATTTCTTTTGGAAAATTTTATTAAAATAGTAGATATTGAAAATCATTGAGTGGAGGAGAATTTAAAAAAAAATTGAATTTGTTAAAAAGAATTTCATTAAAATTTTTGAAAATAATTGAATTTTGGAGAAAAATTTTAATATTTATAAAGATAATTGAAATTTTGACGATAAATTTTTTTAAACTTTTGACCATAATTGAATTTCTGCGAAGAATTTTATTACTTTTGAAAATAATTGAATTTCTTTGGTGAATTTTAATAAAATTTTTAAGAATAATTATACATTTTTCGAGAAATTCCATTAAAATTGTATGAAAAATAATTGAAATTTTGCGATGAGTTTTATTATTTATGAAAATAATTGTAAATCTATAAATTTTTTGATTATTTATGAAAATAATTGAATTATTGCGAAGAAATATTGTAACTAAACTCTTTTAAAATTGAATTAAGAAAATTGAATTAAAGAAAAATTAGATTTCAAGAATAAGCACAATAACTTTAGAAAACAATAATTTTCCTGGATTCCAATCAAAATTCCCTGACTTTTCCAGGTTTTTTCAAGGTTTATAAAAATTCCCTGACATTTCCAGGTTTCCAGGTTGCGTGGCAACCCTGGGAAGAAATTTATAAAAAATTTGTAAATAATTGAATTTCTGTGAAATTTTTTTTAAATAATTGAAATTTTTCCAAGAATTTTTAAAATTGTTGTAAATAATATTTAATTTAGACAATCATTTTGTATTAGAAGTCGTGTTTATTTCATAGTTTATGAAGCAAACAAAAAGACACCCAAAATTGAGAATTTTTCTGTGAAATTTAAAAATTTAATTTTTTCCAGGACTTTAATTTTCGCTGAATTCCCTAACCTGTGGCAACCTTGTGGTTACACCTTCAGTGAATACAACCCTAAATAATAATGAGTAAAATAATGCATATTCAAAGTAATATTTGAAGAAGCTCACCTTCTGACGATCCTTCATAGAACCTCTCCCCAATACTGCCATCTTGCACATAGTCTCTTCCTGCAGGCGTTTCATGGAGTTACCCTTGGGACCCAGTAGTTTTCCAACAAAATTGAACTAAAACAAAAAAAATAATACCGTTATCTTTGCGCCTTCATAAAAATGGAATTATACAATCTAACATGAAAACTTATTTTTAAACTCCTACCCAACATCATTTATATTAGGAATTTACATTTTTTTTTTTTAAGTATAACACTTCATGTATTATAAAAATTTAATCTTTTTTTTAATAAACTTAATATTTACTTATTAATAATAAAACTATAAATGTTGATATAAAAAGTATAATAATTGTCTCGTTAAAACCTTAAATTAATTATAGGTGAAAGACTAGGTTCTGGTAATAGCAGTAGAATGTTTGTAAATGTCAAATGCAGGTAATGCACGAGATAGAATTGGAGGGAAAGTTTTAGATTTTCAGCATATGTTACAGGATATATAATATAACGTCGCCTGAAGCTGTTTCTACTCAACGAAAATTCAAATTTTCAATCTGTCCTAGTGTACAACTAATCAAATCAATGAACAACTCAACTTCCTGTTATATATAGTTACACATAAAGCAGTCAATTTACCTAAAAATGTTTATTAATAAAAAATATATTTTAAATTCTTTTTTTTTCATTTCATTCTCAAAAGTGAAAGAGAAAAACTTTTAGAAAAAAATTTTTAGAAAAAAGCTTTTACAAAATTACATCAACATAATAAATAGATAACAAAAGAAATTTTATTCAACCAACAATAGTTTTTCCGTGTGCATGTAGAGAATTCATAAAATGTTTATACTGTAACATTAAATTTATGTGTGCTTTAAATTTTCTTCTTTAGTGTACATTTAACAGGACAGTTAAAAATTCGTTCCTTCCTAAAACATTTTTTGCTCGTTGCACTTTAAATTTTACCTGCCTGTAAAACTCCCGCTAAAGTATTTTGTGACAGAATTTTCTTTTTCAAAAATATTAGCAAAAAATTTTTTTCACATATGGTTGTAATAAATAAGATGCATGGAACTTTTAACTTTTAAGATTGGACTTTTTTTTAAAGCAAGAACATTGATTTCACTTTGTGAGTTTGTACACATGTTTGGTATGTTTTAGCACTGGAAATTCGTATACATGACTTATTTTCAAAGCACGTTATCAATGTTTATTGATTGTTAATAAATTACCTAAAATAGATATAGCTTTTAAGAAGGGGATGTCAAAGTCAATGCGATTCTTCCATTGAGTGAAAATCGTATCGAATTTAACGGGAGGTCTAAATTGTCTAACATGTTATTTCCATTTGGGAAACTAGACACTAATAAAAAATACAATTGCTAAAAATCATATATAGAAATAAAATAAACTTTATTTTATACATAAACTGTATTTTCATTTCTGTATAGCAACATATGCTGATCATATTATGTGACAGCTGTTCGGTAGTGCATGATGTTTCATTTACCAACATTAATTAATTTTTTTTAAAAATTTCAACAAAATAAATGTTTCACTTTCTATATTTTTCAGTAAAAATCAATATTCCCTCGCATTAAAATTTGGAAATTTTAAAAGTAAACTTTTCAATTAAACTTTTCAAATTTTTAATAAAATTATGTTGATTGTACTTAAAATTCCTATAAGCCCATAAAAGATATTTTTTCATTATTAACAAAAGAGAACAAAAGAATCTGTGTACATTGTACAGTTTTTTGTATATATTATATTAGGAAAAAATTTACCTTACAAATATAAGTAAAAAATGCAAAAAAGTATATTTAGCCCTTTTTCAATATCCGAGAGAAAATTATGGGTTCATTTCTCAAACATTCAACTCACGTCATCTTATTCATGTTGCAGATGATGCATTACACATGAACAAGGATCTACGATTGCTACTGTAAAGAAAGTCGTTGACGCGATTGGAAATGTTCTCGCAGAAGTGCGAGATTGGAATAAAAGAAGAAAAGAACGAGAGAATGCGAAAAAACAAACAATGAAAATGGCCCAGTAATAAAAAAGAAGTAATATTTAATTTAAAAATACAAGATATTTTATTATACTCTTAAAAGCCGGATATTTGGTTCTTTTTCATAAATAAATTAATTTTCCAATGAATTGCAATTTAATGGAATTTAATTGGTGTCGACCTCGTTTGGTTTGTATACAAGTTTCAATAAACAAGAAATTATTTATTTCTTTTTCTCCGATCTGTGGTCAAATCATATATATTAAAAATTATCTTTAAAACGAATTAAGCATTCCTATCTCTTTTATTATTCTTCTGCACAGTTAGTTATGCAATGTACAAACTAATTATTTAAAAAAAATGGAAGACAAGAATTTTAAAGGAAATTAAATTTACACGTATAAGAATAAGATTACTTTTAGTTTTACGTTATGTTGAGTTTGCTTCAATATAATACAGAAATTCTCCCGAGGATTGAAGAATTAATCCCGAACGAATATAGCGCCGGACGAATCATTTGCATTTAATGTTGACAATAATGGAGTAAAATAGAGAAAATGCAAACTTTGCCAAAAGTTTCTTCCATTGGGAAAATTGTCAAAATGACCAGCTCTTTTCACAAAAAAATATCCTTAATTGCTGATTGAATACTTTTTGCTAAATGCAAAGCTCGAACCAGTGAAATTATTTAAAAATACGAATTTTACGGACCAAAAATATTAAATTACGGACCATTTACGAACCAATTAACTACTGACAAAAATAAAACCAGTCCGAGTCAAATAAGAGAACATTTTACTCAAAATTAGAAATTCAATTTTTTATAAATAAAACATGAAGATATCGATCACTCCGAGTCTTCGACTCGGAGTTTCTTTCTTCATATTTTATAATAATTAAAGATGTCAAATTGTTAAAATCATCATTTTATATTATAAGAATATTGTTACTGCAACTTCTTCAAAATTATTTTCAACATTTCAATTCAATTATTATTTTCCAGAGTTTTTAACTAAAATTCTTCTTTAAACAATTATTTTTAATAATTTTTGAAAAAGTTCTTTGACAATTTTCAAATTCATTTATTTACAATTCAATTTTACGAAATTTCAATTATTCGAAAATTCTTTAATTATATAGTAGAAAATAACAACTCCAAAAAAATAAAAAAAAAAAAAATTGAATTAAACCTTTTGAAAAAAATTAATTTCACAGAATTGTTAGTTAAAATTTTAATTTTCAAAGATTTTAATTTGAAACCTTTTCAGAATTCAATTATTTCCAAAAATTCATGCTATAATGCTTTTAATATTCAATTATTATCTATAAAATTTTAACTGAAATTCATTTTTAAATCAATTTTTATTAGAAAATTCAACTACAATTTAATTATTTAAATACAAAAATTAATAACTTATTGAATAATTGAATGTTTCTTATAACTGAATTTTAATAAAGAATTTTATTAACAAATTTGTAAATAACTCAATTCTTTTGACAAATTGAAAAAAAAATTTTTTTAAGAATAATTACATTTTTCGAGAAATTCTATTAAAATTGAATTTTAAATAATTGAAATTCTGTGATGAGTTTTATTATTTATGAAAATAATGAAATTATTGGAAAAAAATTTATAAAAAAAAATTGTAAATAATTGAATTCCTTGTAAAATTTTAATTATTTTATGAATACAATTTAATGTTTGCGTAGAATTTCATTAAAATTTTTTTAAATAATTGAATTCTTTTGGAAAATTTTATGAAAATAGTAGATATTGAAAATCATTGACACGGTGGTCTGGAAGGCGGAAAGTTCCAAGCAAAAATGACGACAAAATCGACAAACGGGGATGTTTTAAGGAAGGTTTGGGCATTACAAATCCGTTTCATTTAAAATCCCAGCTGATCATTTAACCCTTAAACCGCACACTGCCGAATCATAAAGTTATCAAATACACAAAGACACTTGACAGACTAATGTCACTCACGAAACATAAATTTAAGTACAAAATGTACCGTCCAATATCAACACATGTTTAATTTTTACGAATTTAACCGAAATATTAGAGTAAAAAGATAGAATATGGGTGTCGCACACCCAGGGTGCGGTTTAAGGGTTAAGCTAAAAAAAGCGTTTCTTTTAGCAATTTTTTTGAAGGGGAAGGAAATGATTACGGTAAACGAAATTTTTAGATAATAGTGTATTATATTTAAGCTTAAAAAGACAATTTCCCTGAGCCATACAATAATCCTTCCTCTTCTTCAGAAAACTTGTTTCAAAATTGATTTTTTGAAGCCTGTAAAGCAGACTACTGCTTTAAGGGAGGGGTAAGGTCTATTCGGTAAAAAAACGCATGTTTTTATAATTTTTTTTGTCGATACGCAGAAAGTTAATTTATTTTATCGCTTTGCATATAATTATGTAACATTTAAAAAATATTTCTCTAAATTTTAATTCAAAAATATTAAGATCTGAGCGAAATAATAGGATTTTTTTAAGCTCCTCCAAAAAATCAAAGTGCATCTGTTAAAGGAGATGTTTTTTGAGGTAACGCTGGGAGGATTTTTTAAATAATTTTTCGATTTTTCGTAGCACTTCAAAGCCAAAAAGGCGATTTTCGCTATAAAAAATTGATTTATTTGTTATTGTAAAATACGTAATTTTGTATTTTTTAAAAAAAGCTCTAAGGGTTACCTGAGTAATTATGCGAAGATACTGTGCGCAAAATTGCAGAACGATTGGTCAAATAGATTTTGAGATATCGTGAACACGGATTTTAAAAATGCTTAGTTTCAGAAAAATGCTTTAATCAGTAAGGATCAAATGCACAATACTTGAAGTTTGGCATTGTTTTTACACGTTGAAATGCAATTTAAAAATTTAGCAATAGGTATTTCTTATTGCACAAGAATCAATCTTTTAAATGGTGTATCGAAAAATATTGCAAATTTAAAAACAAACAAATTACAAATGATTTTTTAATGAAGAACATGAAGCCTGGACCTACAGAACTAAAGTACTCGTAACATCGTCAATTTTTGCTTCGATTGACTTGAGATTTTAACACAACATTCTAGAGATATTATGTAATCATTAAAAAAATT